GTATGATTCAAATAAGTCAAAATGATTTTACAAAAAGGAAATCCTAATTAAAAATCTTACTAGATTTTTTTGAGACGGAACTAGCAAGGTATATAAAGGGGAACTAGTTGATATTGTATACTAGGACTGTCAAGACGTTCAATAACGTGCCACACAAAAGGCTTACACATGAGAAAAGGGCTCACTGAAATGTGAGTAATATATTAAGCTGGAATGTGAATTGTTAAGTAGACAGGATATTTTCAATTTGGCAGGCTTTAACCAGTGAGGTTTGCAAGGATCAATGCTGGAGGCTCAGCTATTTACAATCTGTACTAATGATCATACAAAGAGACAAAAATGTATCTAAGCTTGCTGATTATACAAAGCAAACCTTAAGGAGGTCATAGAGTCTGCAAAAGATATGAACAATTTAAGTGAATAGGCAACAAGGTAGTAGACGGGGCATAATTTAGAGAAGTGTGAAGTTATTCAGTTTTGGTATGGACTAGAAAAATAGATGTTTTTTAAAAAGAAATGAAAACATTTTCAATGTTGTTGTTCAGACAGACTTGGGCCTATGCAATTGACTCTGTTGAAGTTTAAGAATCATGTTATGATTGGAGTATGTTGTTTTCAAGGAAATCTTATACTAGGAACATAAAACTTTAGCAAAATACAAAGAACGGTGAATGCTGGAAATCTAAAACAAAAACATAAGAACATAAGAACTAGGAGCAGGAGTACGCTGTCCGGCCCTTGAGCCTGCTCCGCCATTCAATAAGATCATGGCTGATCTTTTCGTGGACTCAGATCCACTTACCCGCGTTCTCACCGTATCCCTTAATTCCTTTATTGTTCAAAAAAATATCTACCTTATCTTTAAAAACGTTTACTGAAATAGCGTCAACTACTTCACTGGGCAAGGAATTCCATAGAGTAACAACCCTCTGGGTGAAGAAGTTCTTTCTCAATTCAGTCCTAAATCTGCTCCCTCTAATCTTGAGGCTATGCCCTCTTGTCCTAGCTTCACCTGCCAGTGGAAACATCCTCTCTACTTCTATCTTATCTATTCCCTTCATAATTTTATATGTTTCTATAAGACCCCCCTCAATCTTCTGAATTCCAATGACTCAGTCTCTCCTCATAAGCCAACCCCCTCAACTCCGGAATCAACCTAGTGAACCTCCTTTGCACCCCCTCCAGTGCCAGTACATCCTTTCTCAAGCAAGGAGACCAAAACTGCACACGGTACTCCAGGTGTGGCCTCACCAGCACCTTGTACAGCTGCAACATAATCTCTCTGCTTTTAATCTCAATCCCTTTAGCAATGAAGGACAAAATTCCATTTGCCTTCCTAATTACTTGTTGTACCTGCAGACCTACCTTCTGTGATTTATGCACAAGGACACTTAGGTCCCTCTGCATAGCAGCATGCTGCAACTTTTTAACCATTCAAGTAATAATCTTTTTTACTATTACTCCTACCAAAATGTATGACTTCACATTTATTTACATTGTATTCCATCTGCCAGACCTTTGCCCACTCACTCAATGTATCTATGTTCCTCTGCAAAGTTTCACAGTCCTCTGCACACTTTGCTCTGCCACTCATCTTAGTGTCATCTGCAAACTTTGACACCTTACACGTGGTCCCCAACACCAAATCATCTATATAAATTGTAAATAATTGCGGTCCCAACACCGATCCCTGAGGCACACCACTAGTCACTGACTGCCAGCTAGAATAGCACTCATTTATCCCCACTCTTTGCTTCCTGTTAGTCAACCAATCCTCTATCCATGCTAATACTTTACCCTTAACACCATGCATCCTTATCTTATGCAGTAGCCTCTTGTGCGGCACCTTGTCGAAGGCCTTTTGGAAATCTAGGTACACCACATCCACTGGGTCCCCATTGTCCACCTTGCTCATAATGTCTTCATAGAATTCCAAAAGATTTGTCAAGCATGACCTGCCCTTCATTAACCCATGCTGCATCTGCCCAACGGACAATTTCTATCAAGATGCCTTGCTATTTCTTCCTTGATAATAGACTCAAGCATCTTCCCCACTACAGAGGTTAAGCTAACCGGTCTATAATTCCCCATCTTTTGTCTACTTCCCTTTTTAAACAGTGGTGTCACATTTGCTGTTTTCCAATCTGCTGGGACTGCCCCAGAGTCCAGCAAATTTTGGAAAATTACCACCAGTGCACCTGCTATTTCTCCTGCCATCTCTTTTAATACCCTGGGATGCATTCCATCAGGGCCAGGAGACTTATCAATTCTTAGCTCCATTAGCTTGCCCAACACTACCTCTTCCGTAATAATGATTGTTTCCAGGTCCTCACCTACCTTCGTCTCTGTCTATTACTGGCATGTTATTAGTGTCCTCCACTGTGAAGACCGATACAAAGTACCTGTTCAATGCCTCGGCCATTTCATCATATCCCATAACTAAATTCCCCTTCTCATCCTCTAAAGGGCCAACATTTACTTTAGCCATTCTTTTTCATTTTATATATTTATAGAAACTTTTGCTATCTGTCTTTATATTCTGTGCTAGTTTTTTCTCATGTTCTATCTTACTTTTCTTTATAGCTCTTTTTGTGGCTTTCTGTTGACCTTTAAAGTTTTCCCAATCTTCTAGTTTCATGCTGTTTTTGGCCACTTTGTATGCCTTCTCTTTCAATTTGATAGCCTCCCTTATTTCTTTAGACACCCATGGCAGATTACCCCTTTTCTTACAGTCCTTCCTTTTCACTGGAATATACTTTTGCTGAGCATTTTGAAAGATTGCTTTGAAAGTCCTCCACTGCTCGTCAACTGTCCCACCATAAAATCTTTGTTTCCAGTTTACTTTAGCCAAGTCCTCCCTCGTTCTATTGTAGTTCCCCTTGTTCAAGCACAGGACCCTGGTATTGGATTTTATCTTCACACTCTCCATCTGTATTCTAAATTCAACCATACTGTGATCACTCCTTCCAAGAGGATCCCTAACTATGAGGTCATTAATTATTCCTGTCTCATTACACAGGATCTAGGATAGCTTGCTCCCTCGTCGGTTCCATTACATATCGTTCAAGAAAACTATCAAGGATACACTCAACGAACTCCTCCTCAAGGCTACCCTGACCGAGCTGATTCGACCAATCTACATGTAGATTAAAATCCTCCATGATAATTGCTGTACCATTTTTACAGGCATTAGTTATTTCTTTATTTATTGCCCACCTCAATGTGATGTTATTATTTGGTGGCCTATAGACTACACCTATCAGTGACTTTTTCCTCTTAGAATTTCTAATTTCCACCCAAATGGATTCAACCTCATTCTCCATAGAACCTATATCATCTCTCAGCACTGCCCCGATGTCGTCCTTGAATATCAGAGCTACACCATCTCCCTTACCTTCCTGTCTGTCCTTCCGAATAGTCTGGTACCCTTGGATATTTAACTCCCAGTCATAGAAAAAACAGAAATAGCTAGAGAAATGTGGAAATAAAACAGAGTCAATGTTTTGGGTCCAGTAACCTGAAACATTGACTCTACTTTCTCTCCACAGATGTTGTCAGACCTGGTGAGTTGCACAAAACTTTAGCATGCAGGTACAGGAACAACTGAAAAAAGCAAATAGTACGCGAGCTGGTAGATACCAGTATGATCCATTGCAAGGGGACTGAAGCACAAGAATAAAGATGTCACGCTACAATTGTAAGGGTTTGACGAGGCCAATCTTGGAATATTGCATGTAATTTTGATCTCCATATGTAGGCAGGACATACTTGTATTGGAGGCAGTATAGCAAAAGTTCACTAAATTGGTTTCTAGGATGAAATGGAAAAACGGTTGATTTATGATGAGAGATGGAGTAGAGCTCTGGACTTGAGAAGAATGAGAAGCAATTGAAAATAAAATCAAGATTATGACTGGTTATTTACCGAGACATTGTTTTCCTAGGGTGGGAAATCTGGAGCAAAAGGACACAGTTTCAGTCTTGAATGAATAGCCTGAGATAAGAAGAAGTCTCCGAAATTCTCTACCCTGAAGGTTTACAAATGTGCCATCACTATATGTAATTAAAGGATTATAGCAAGAAAGTAGAGTTGAAACCCAAGATCAGCCATAACTATGTTGGATGGTAGTACAAGCTTGAGGCGTAGTATTATATTCTTCTGCTCCTATTTTGTCAGTTGTGTTCTATATGAACAAGAAGTGCTGAATGTACTCAGCATATCCATCAGTATCTAAAAGGTAGGAAGCAAGTTAACATGTGAGACGTGGCTTCATTCAGAGGAATTATGATTTAGTTTTCCAATTAAAATGCAAACTTGTTTTCAATTGTTATATATTCCAATGGGCCTGCTTTTTCCAACCATTGTTCTTAAGATTTCAGATTTTGCAGTATGTAATTTTCATAAGTATTTCACATTATGAAATGCAGACATTAGATCAAAATCTGAAGAAAAGCGACTGTGCTGTTTTCAAAGAAAAATCAGTAGTCTTTGGATAATGATCAAGAGATATTTCACTGTCAATAGATATGTAAGACAAATAGATAGGCTTAATTACTTATCCTGCACAGACCTACTTTTATGGGCTAGAATGAAAATGGACAGTGCATTTAACCACTCAGCCAAAAGAGAAACTTACAAGTTACAAAAGGCCACTTACATTTCTTTCATCTACTTTGTTCCTTCTTTGGAAAACAATAACACTATGATCACTAAAACTGTCACTGTAGCTACCACAATTGTCAACAACTGCAGTAACACGATTTATGGTTTTCCCCAAAAACTTGTTATGATGCCAACTGCTATTCTCATTACGTATTGTTCTTTACAACTGAGAGATCAAGAATAATTGCTTCCTGTGTCTGTCCTGAATTCGTGCCTGAAGCAGATGGGCCACTATACTTGCCATCTAGTCTAGGAAAGCGTTGAATATGTATATGTGCATACTCCGCATTTACTCTCATAAATATTCAAAAAAATGCTGTGTCATCTTAACGCCGCACCTTGGCTTCAAGCTCACTGAGATCAGAGTGTCCCATTGCAGGTTCTGCAACCACTTTTTGTAAGTAATGGACAGTTTTCTTCTTGCTGTCCAATTCCTTGGGAAGCTTGTCTGAAACCATATATGTGTTGAATTTTATTTCCTCATCCAGCCTCTTCATCAAACCTGAAATGAATATTCAGTTCAACCATTCAGAGTTAAACACTTTAATCTCAAATATAACTATACACATCATCTGATTTACTGTTGTTTTGAATTAATTTATGTCTGATTTCTAAAAGGTTCATGGCTTGTAATACCTATAAATACAATGTTGAGCCTTCACTTATTATGAGTTTTATTGCCAATAATCATATATGTTTAGATCCATCAGTCATTAAAGTGCAAAAATTTCAATAATCCTACCAGGCTGCTAGGTAGGTCTCTCATCGAGAAAACAGAACAGCAATTTTCTATTACATCACAAAGCAACTGTGCCTTCTACTGGCTGAGCACAATGCAATTGCTGTCCCTTTTCTACTGGCTGAGCACAATGCAATTGCTGTCCCTTTTCTGCTTAGCTGTAAGGAGATAAACAACTCTAATCAAAAAGATCAAAGGAAGCAAATACTGACTAAAAATTATTACACAATTTAATTTTTTCTGGGGATTTTGCTGATAACTCTACAGTATTCATTGCCATTCATAACCACAATAATGGAGCAAACCTGCCAACCTGCTGTAGAATTTTATCTATCAAGTGGCAGGTAACATTCGAATTACATACGTGGCAGACAATAACAATCTCCAAAAAAGAAAATAAAAAAAAAGACCTCTGCTCTGTGACCTTCTGTGGCACCAGTCCTTACTGAGCCACACACATAATCAACATGTTAGAAATTTCCAGTGATCAAAAACTTTAACTTCATGAACAACATGGCTACAGGAACAAAGCAGACATTGGGTACTCTGTAATGAAGACCCTGCTGATCCTTCAAAGTCATTTCACAAATACCTTCAGTGCCATTGGGTCCAAATTCTGGAACAGCACTGTAGGTACACTACGGAAGGCATGAAACATGAAGCCATGAAGGAAGCTCACCACCACTTTCTGAATGTGAAACAGGGATGGGAAATAAATCTTGAGCTTGCCAGTGATATACACATTTCATTGTGACACTGCTTCCTAAATTTGTACTTTGATGTAGTACTTACTCTCAGGCTTTGCATCTGCTGAAGCTTGTCGAAGGTCCTTTAACTGCTGTTGTGCTCTCTGCAGCCTTTGTTCTGCATGGAATAACTGTAGAAGAAAAATATAATGTAGGAGTCTAATATAACAAAAACAGGACAATATTGCAAAAAGTTCCTTTTATTGTTAATGGATCGAAAATTGACAACTTGCTTCCATGATGTTCTTGTTTTAATGACATTAACCTAAAAATGAAAAATAAATCAAACTACAATATGCGAAACGCATGTGGCAATGTGGTTGGATTAATTTGGGGAAGTTATGAATGTGTTCTTTTTAAGTTATATTTCTGGTGACGTCAGGTCACGTACTTGCTAATGACCAGGAGACAAATAATGAATACGCTGCAGGCTACCACCTTTCAAAGCTGCATCAGACACATTCTGCCCAAAATTCTGAACTAGTTCCTCCCGTCCCCATTACACGGAAATACCTGAAGACAATGCAGACGTTATCAAAAACTCAATATAATTCCATGTCCCATTGCTCAATGCATTATTCTGCTTACTAACCACTCCATACAATCACTAAAGGAGACAGTATAAGAAGACACTGGCAGCTAACACAAAAGGGGATCCAAAAGTTGTTCCAAAGATATATAAGTAGTAATGATGTGGAGGTGTCAATGTTGGACTGTGGTGGATAAGGTCAGAAGTCACACAATACCAGGTTATAGTCCAACAGGTTTATTTGAAATATCAGGCTTTTGAAACGCTGCCCCTTCATGGTGAAAGAGGAAGTAGTTCAGACACTTGAAATGGTAATCCATAGGGACACCTCTCCAGGGTTAACGACAGTAAAGACTGACAGTTGGCCATCAAAAGCTCTTCCAAAACCTGGACTAAACCCTCTTTGACTCCTTATCATCTAAGCCATTAAATTCAAAATGCTTGTTTGAACATCCTTCTAGAGCTCCACTCTACTTTTTCAACCTGATGAAGCGTAACACACCGTCATATACTTCCCATTGTTGCAAAAATGGTATCTTATACAACACTCATATTTACACTCTTATCTGCTACTGTTTTAATATTGCACAATTCACCTATGATGTCTTAGCCCACTGGCAATAGGCTCAAAACCTCTCCAATCATGACTTCAGTCACCTTCCTTCTCCTGTCTACTGATGCAGCTCAGTTGGTCATATGTTCTCGTGCTAATTGCAGTGGGACATTTAATAGGACATCTAAAGATGCTACATAACTAAAAGTAGTTGATCTGGAATAATTTAATGTGACAAATGTATATTTCCATGTATGGCTTATCACTTTATGCATTATAAATTACCTGATTTTTTTGTTCCTGTTTTTGCTGCATTAAAGATTCTTCCCTCTCCTTCTCCACACGAAGCTGTCTTGCCATCTCTAACATCCGCTGGTGATTTGATACAGTGTCCACCTAGTGAAAACACACAAATATTGCTTTTACTAATAGGATCTTAAGAAAGTATGCCCAAGATCCGATTTCCCAGATGATTCCCTTCTATCACCAATAAATAGCTGCAGATGACAGCATAGAATTCACACCAATTAAACCAACATGTCTGCATTTAACGTGCAACTTCTTGTAGTGATTGGCAACTCTCCTAGCATGTCTCAGTTTACTCAAATGTGTTATTCAATGCCTTCCTTAAGCAAGCAATATGCTCCTTCAATCCAGATTTATATTTTCCCATGTGACATGTGACACATGGCCAAAGAAACAATATCCTTAACAGATAACTGAATCATACCCTTTTCTTTAGACGCTCTACACGCTTAATGAGTTGATCCTTCTCTTCCTCCATAGCATTTATGTCCTACACATCCAAAGAAAAATTTATACCATGCATTACTTACATAATTTAAGCATCTTAACATGTTGTGGTTTTAAGCATATAAAATTCTAAACTGAAACATCCACTTATATATGCCTACATACATAAATAGATGCAATATTCAGCGTGATGCAATACTTAAAGTTGCGAGAATATACATTTCTTTTATTTGCAGCTAAAACATCATTTTGAAAGACAGAGACATTTTAGTTGCTGGTCTCAGTGGCACACCATTTCAGCGTAAGAATGCCTGTACCGTGGCGACCCAGCATACAGCTACGCTTTTGCAACCCTTTGTGTTAGTTATGGCGAACAAAAGCAGAACATTACGAATGCTGGAAATCTGAAAAAAAATCAGAAAATTTGCTGGAAACTGTCAGCCTGTCAAGTCACATATGGAAAGAGAAAAAGATAACAGGTTGCAGTGGATAATACCAGAAATGAAGAATGAGAAAGGTGGAAATTGAAAGCAAAGTTGATGACATTTTACAGCTCAGGCTGACGAAGGAAATGGCATTATGAGAACCAAAAATGTACTGGAAATAAAGGGAGGGTGGGAACCTGGGTGGGCCAAGAACAAAGAATGTTTTGCTGATCCCATTAAAGAGGCATATCTAGAACCCATGGAGATTCCATAGCAACATCTTTTAGTTGCAGAAAGTAGAAGTAGTCAGAAGGGAAGTTATTAAATGTGATTATAACTTCAGTCAGGTGCAGGAGGACAATGTTGATTGAGGATTGAATGTGTTGCGTTTCTTTCTATCCTTCAGGCACAAACTCACTTCTCTCTCAAATAGGACTCATAAAATATAATTTGAGAGCTTGACTCAAAGATTACAGCAGTATGCACACATTTCTAGAGAGATAATGTTTGAGTTTACAGAAGAGTATTTCCTTCCCATTCGGAATTCAAGGATTTCTCACACACATAGGAAAAACCCTAAACTTTGATAAAACAGCTTATATAGTGATTTTAAAATTCTCATTCTGGATTTCAACTCAACCTCCAAATCCTTGTACTCCCTAGTTTTATTATTCTCTCCAGTCCTACAAATCAGAGATCTCAATTTCTCCTCCAATTCTGGCCTTTTGCATATTCTAATTTTCTTCTCTCTACCACTAGAGGCCACACCTTCCATTGCCTCGTCCTAAGGCCTGAATTTCTCTCCGTAAACGTCTCCGCTTTCTCTCCCTTACTCTTTCTCCTCATTACTTATTAAGACCTGACATTTGATCGAGCTTTTGACACCAATCCTAGTTTATCCTTATTTGGTCCACTGTCAAACTCTGTTTATTAATCATTCCAGAGAAGCACCTTGGGACATTTTACAGTGATAAAAGGTATTATATAAATGCAAGTTGTTACACCGTCATTTACTAATAGGTGTCCAATTCCACCAAATGATTTACAGCATCTGACATAAAGAAGTATAAAATAATGTGTACTTCACTTATCAGCAAATGACAGCTAAATATTTACAGAGATGTTTTACATGTCTTAAATATCAGTATTCTCCACTTTAAAAAAGAATGACAAAAAGAACATAACAACAGGCATTTCATCCCAGTTTGCTAGGGGGCTTGACACTTCTAATAAAATCTTTTAAAATAAGTAGGTTAACAACTTTAAAAAAAATGATGTGAAAAAAGATGTGAACTGATCCACTCAAAACTGTGCACAGAAGAATTTCAATTTCCTTGCACTCAGACAGAGAACAACATTGGTCAAGGCTCAAAAAAGAGTTGTCTTTGGAACTCTGAACTTAGAAATGTCTAAAACATGCTGCGATAGTAACTTAAAATAAAAATAAAATTGTGGGAAATAAATCAAATATTCAGTAAGACAGACAAATAGTAACTGGGTTTTCTGTACTAGAATCATTATAAAATAATTCCACTTTAACCGTGCCATAATTTCATAGACAGTAGAAGAAAAAAAAACAAAAAGCTATATTTGTTATGGCACCTTACTAGATCTCAGCAGATCTCAAAGCGTTTCATAAACATTTATGATAGATATTTCGAATTACTGTCATTATTGTTTGGTCGACAAAAACAATGGCTATTTTACGTTCAGCAAGATACTACAAGTAATCAGAGAAATGACCAATTCATCATTTTTCAGAAACAAAAATAAAATTGCTGGAAAAGCTCAGCAGGTCTGGCAGCATCTGTGAAGGAGAAAACAGAGTAAATGTTTCGGATCCGGTGACGCTTCCTCAGAACACATCTTTTTTCAGTGTTGGCAAAGATTAAGCAAGTAATGTCAGTCAGTAGAATTCCCATCTCTTCTACAAATAACAAAATGGATATTGGAATGCCTACCCAAACAAATAGCTCAAGTTTAACAACTCCTCCAAATGACACAAGCTATGCTATTTTACATATTACAAATTGAAATAGTTATTAAGTGTGGAATAGGCTTTCAAACAATGGAAACAAAAATGCCAGAAATAATTTAAGAAACAATGAAATGGAAAGTTAAGATGCTTCTAAATGGTTGAATTAAGATAGAACCTACCAACATCCGTCATGACTTAGTCAGTCCTTCTTCAGTCATTCTCTTTAGAACGACTTGTGAGAGAGGTACTTTCATGAAAATGATGACTACAGCATCAATTTACATCACAACATTATAGTTTCATTAAAATTAAAATAAGGATAATATCTTTCAGTTGCTTTTGAATTTTTAACAAATCTCCATTTGACATTCTCCAAGAAGTTATCAATCCCTTTTCAAAATAAATCTTTTGTTCCATTGCAGAATGCACTTTTTGCACTTCTTACCCTCCTTATTTCTGCAGTTGAAAAACCACAGTTCTTCAGCTGTTCACATTCCTTGTGCAAGGTCTTGAATCCTTCCACCAATTCTTCATACTAGAAACAAAAACCAGAAGAATTCTTTTAAAACATTTCTGACAACTTCTGAATTTTCAGATTTACTCTAAACTAGATTGTTCAATTACTATTCTAAACATTCAGTGTTTTATAAAGATAAGCAAAACCAGATCTAAATAATTATTAAATTAAGAAGCATTACTCTTAGACAAATAAATATTCATGCAATGAAATATTAAATATCCACATTTTAAATTAAAGTTATAATTACTAAACCTGATGATAAGTGTCTGCAACCACATCATCCTGCAGAAAGTCAGCAGGGATTTCCACTTTGACAAGGAAGCGAGCCAAATATGCTCTTTTTTTAAGCTCATTGGTCCGCTGCAGAAGCCAGTGCAAAATGGGATGAATTATAGGTTTACTTCCAGTAACCAGACCCTGTCGAAAGGTACTCCTGAAGGGGTCCAACAAAAGGATGATGGTTAGTTTATTCACTCAAACACACATTAATCTGCCACTAAGCACAATATCAGTATCTTAGTGGTTTCAGGCTGCAACATTGACTCGAACAACTAAGGAAACCAATGTCTTTTTGCACAAAGTTGCAAGATGACAATGATATGCTAACTTTTATCTTTGGTTTTAAGAAATTTCAAAGTATTTTTAACTTACTTTGATTAATTTTTTTTAACATCAATATTTGTTACCATTTAGAAAATAAAGCAATGGTTTGCTTGACTTTTTCTTCAAAGCAAATGACAGCAAATAGTTTTGACACGGTGGACACTCTAATCAAAGAGCTACATTACAGATTACCAGAAATAGAAAATTTTATTTTCTGAGAAAAGTTATTTTTAAAATGTAATACATGTAGAATCTGATGACAAAAATTGAATCATTTTCAACATATTTTCTGAAAATTTCCCCATTAGACAAAGTCATATGCCACATATGTCTGTAATTCCCTATTAAATATCCAAACAAAGAGCCGAGGGTAGCTTATTGAATGAACATTTTAGTCTCTTGCGTACAGCTTGCACTAATTAGAAGAATGTGGGCATGCTACCTGTGATTTTCTATCCAATGATTTCAATTGGGAAGGTATCGATAGCATGTTCCTGATATCTACCAAGTGTGCTGGCTGCATCTAACTTCATAAAATTTATCCTATGTGCCTTGCCTATAGATAGGGAAAGAAACAAACCAAACCAGCCTAAGAGATTATTATGTACATTTCAAGTTTTTGCAGAACTCATTATTTGCCTAGTCTCTCAGCACAAGACTCGTGTATGACAAATGACAAATGCAAAGTCTTATTAGGGGAGTATACAATATATTTAAAATAGGGTTCTGGAATAAATCTCCAAGCAAGTGTGTTAGATTCCTGGTTTGGTCTTCATTTACATACCACCTAGACACTTTCTAATACTGACAATGCAGCCAGGATTTTACTGAATGAATTTCACATTTCCTTGATGACTAGCACCTATTGCTGAAAATATGCACAATTATGTAATATGTGACTTCAAGCCAAACAGGAGGCATACATTGCAAAGAATAAAAGAGACACGAAAAGAGTAACTTGTTTGACTTCTCAGTCAGGAAACATTTCTGACAGAAGTGATAAATCTAAAGAAGAAAGTGATAAAATAAATGTTTTTCTATAAATCTGAGTTAAAACATAAATTGTTACATACATATCAGAAGCATTTCCAGGTGGCTTATATTTCAGAATTCCCAGAAGGCTAAACATTCGCTTTGCTGTTTGATCTGGTGCTTCCTCACGAATGTCAATATTATGCTAACAGAAAAGAAAAAAATATTGCTGACATTACTACATAATAAATCTGGTAAGCACAGGACATGTTTCATGAGAGGGAAGTTGCTTGAAATGCAGGAGAGATTAAAGAAGACAGATAAGGTAAGGATTGTCTTTCTTTTTATTGACTACTTCATGTTGTGAAAATATTTGTAAAAAGTATATTACTTCTTCAATTAGTAAAGATAATGTGTAAGGGAACTAAACAGAATTTTAAAAATCCCAGATGTGATTGCTGGTTTAGTCAGTCCATTAATTTTGATAGAGGTGCTATAATTGGCTACAGGAGCTAAAATAGGGGAGTGGGATTTTGTCGTCGTTAATTCACGCAGTAAACATCAGTTAAGTGTCCCATTCATGACTGCTGTCCAGTGAACACTGTCAGAATATATGCATGTTGACAACTGTAAAAGCAGATTCAGGTATGACAGTCACATCCAAGGTTGAGTAACCTGTCAATACCCAAATATCTAGCCTCACAAATGAAGAGGAGAATTTGAGCACCAATCAACTTCATGAATTCAATACTTACAGGAGTGAGAAAGAAGGGAAAAAAGTTATGCAAAATTCAACAATTTTCTCAACAACAGATTTTAGTCTAAGGCAATATAACACTTTAGACCACTTTATCATGTGAAATAACGTATCTCATTACGAATGAATGGCCTTATTGGCTAACTGGGACTCTGCATTAATCAAAACCTCAAGTCCACATAAATGACTTGTTAGAAAATTTAATGTGCATGTGACTAAAAGGACAGTGGTACAATAGATACAAAATTGACAGAAACACAGAAAGTGAAGAGTAATGATAAATGGCTAGAGATAACAAGGTGTAGAGGTGGATGAACACAGCAGGCCAAGCAGCATCAGAGGAGCAGGAAAGCTGACGTTTCGGGTCTGGACCCTTCTTCAGAAATGGGGGAGGGGAAGGGGATTCTGAAATAAATAGGGAGAGAGGGGGAGGTGGATAGAAGATGGATAAAGGAGAAGATAGGTGGAGAGGAGACAGATAGGTCAAAGAGGCAGGAATGGAGCCAGTAAAGGTGAGTGCAGATGGGGAGTTAGGGACGGATAGGTCAGTCCAGGGAGGATGGACAGGTCAAGGAGGCGGGATGAGACTGGTAGGTAGGAGATGGGGGTGGGGCTTGAGGTGGGAGGAGGGGATAGGTGGGAGGAAGGACAGATTAGGGAGGCGGGGACGAACTGGGCTGGTTTTGGGATGCGGTCGGGGGAGGGAAGATTTTGAAGCTTGTGAAGTCCACATTGATACCATTAGGCTGCAGGGTTCCCAAGCGAAATATATGAGGTGCTGTTTCTGCAACCTTCGGATGGCATCGTTGTGCCCCCTCCTACCGCCCCCCTGATCATGACCCCACCCCCAATCACCAAACCATCCACAACCTCATCACTGCAGGTGATCTCCCACCCAGAGCCTCCAACCTCATCGTTCCCCAACCCCGCACCGCCCGTTTCTATCTCCTTCCCAAAATCCACAAACCTGACTGCCCTGCTCGACCCATTGTCTCCGCCTGCTCCTGCCCCACCGAACTTATCTCCAATTATCTCGACTCCGTTTTCTCCCCCTTGGTCCAGGAACTCCCCACCGACGTCTGTGACACCACCCATGCCCTCCACCTCCTCCAAAACTTCCAATTCCCTGGTCCCCAACACCTCATCTTTACCACGGACGTCCAGCCCTATACACTTGCATTCCCCATGCAGATGGCCTAAAGGCCCTCCGCTTCTTCCTGTCCCGCAGGCCCGACCAGTCCCCCTCCACTGACACTCTCATCCGCTTAGCTGAACTCGTCCTCACCCTTAACAACTTCTCCTTCAATTCCTCCCACTTCCTACAGACAAAGGGGGTGGCCATGGGTACCCGCATGGGCCCAAGCTATGCCTGCCTCTTTGTAGGATACGTGGAACAATCCCTCTTCCAAAGCTACACTGGGCCTATCCCCCACTTCTTCCTCCGTTACATCAATGACAGTATAGGCGCTGCCTTGTGCTCCCACGAGGAGCTCGAACAGTTCATCCACTTCACTAACACCTTCCACCCCAACCTTAAGTTCACCTGGACCATCTCCGATACCTCTCTCTCCTTCCTGGACCTCTCTGTTTCCATCTCTGGCAACCACCTGGAAACTGATATCCATTTCAAGTCTACCGACTCCCACAGCTACCTAGAATACACCTCCTCTCACCCACCTTCCTGCAAAAATGCCATCTCCTATTCCCAATTCCTTCGCCTCCACCGCATCTGCTCCCAAGATGAGGCATTCCACTCCCGGACATCCCAGATGTCCTCATTTTTCAAGGATCGCAACTTCCTCTCCACAGTGGTCAAAAACGCCCTTGATCATGTCTCTCGCATTTCCCGCAACTCACCCTTCACACCCCCTCCCCGCAATAACAACCAAAACAGAATCCCCCTCATCCTCACGTACCACCCCACCAACCTCCAGATCCAACGCATCATCCTCTGGCACTTCCGCCACCTGCAATCTGACCCCACCACCAAAGACATTTTTCCCTCCCCACCCTTATCTGCTTTCCGGAGGGACCACTCTCTCCGGGACTCCCTTGTCCGCTCCACACTTCCCACCAGCCCTACCACTTCCGGCACTTTTCCCTGCAACCGCAAGAACAGCTACACCTGCCCCTACACCTCCCCCCTCAACCCCATCCCAAGCCCCAAGCAGATCTTCCACATCAAACAGATGTTCATCTGCATATCTGCTAATGTCGTATACTGTATCCGTTGTTCCCGATGTGGCCTCCTCTACATCGGGGAAACCAAGCGGAGGCTTGGGGACCGCTTTGTGGAACACCTACAGTCGGTTTGTGACAAACGACTGCACCTCCCAGTCGTGAACCATTTCAACTCCCCCTCCCACTCCTTGGACGACATGTCCATCCTGGGCCTTCTGCAGTGCCACAACGATGCCACCCGAAAGTTACAGGAACAGCACCTCATATTTCGCTTGGGAACCCTGCAGCTCAATGATATCAATGTGGACTTCACAAGCTTCAAAATCTTCCCTCCCCCGACCGCATCCCAAAACCAGCCCAGTTCATCCCCGCCTCCCTAATCTGTCCTTCCTCCCAGCTATCCCCTCCTCCCACCTCAAGCCCCACCCCCATCTCCTACCTTCCAGCCTCATCCCACCTCCTTGACCTGTCCGTCCTCCCTAACTCCCCACCTGCACTCACCTTTACTGGCTCCATTCCCGCCTCTTTGACCTGTCTGTCTCTTCTCCTTTATCCATCTTCTATCCACCTCCTCCTCTCTCCCTATTTATTTCAGAATCCCCTTCCCCTCCCCCATTTCTGAAGAAGGGTCCAAACCCAAAACATCAGCTTTCCTGCTCCTCTGATGCTGCTTGGCCTGCTATGTTCATCCACCTCTACATCTTGTTATCTCAGATTCTCCAGCATCGACAGTTCCTACTATCTCTGAAACGATAAATGGCTGTTTTGCAGAATGTAGGAAAGTGAAATACATGGGTGTTTTCCTAGGGGTTAATATTAGAATCAATACTTCTTGTTTCTATAGTTACATTAATTATACTTAAATAAGTTAGATGTTTAATCATTAAAACACACTGATTAGATACTGCAGCAGCATAATACGTACCTTTGGATCAATTTCAGCCAGAACCTCATTAAGCAGCTGCAGCAACTGCAGTGGCTCCAACGAGTCAAAGGTGATTAGATTGAATGTCTTTTTGAAGGGTTCTTTATTGAGTTGTTCTACAATGAACTTGATTTGTTCACTCATTTTAGTTTTTCTCCTGAAAGAAAATAAAACTGAACATGATCCTGCATTTTTTAAAATAGTTCATAGTTTGTCATATTATGAATTTTCCTAAGGAAAAATGCAAGAGATATCAGGATTTAAGTAAGCTACTGAATTTAAAAAGTAGCAAATGCAATGTATGGATTGTAAATTATACAGGATTTATGGCACAGAATACTAATCTCCATTATAGAAATATAGAGAATGGAGGAAGACAGGTTCACGGGTGTTATTACATAATATTTTTAAAGGTATAAATGCATACAGAAGAGAAGAGACTATATTTTAAATACAGTGAATATTGAGTCAAAGTTATACAGCACAGAAGCAGACCCTTCAGTTCAATTCGCCTGCACTGACCAGATATCTTAAACTGGTCTAGTCCCATTTGCCAGTATTTGGCACATATCCCTCTAAACCTTTCCTATTCATGTACCCATCCAGATGCCTCTTAAATGTATACCTGCCTCTACCAGCTCCCTTGGCAGCTCGTTCCATACACTCCATTACCCTCTGTGAGAAAAAGTTGCACTTAAGGTCTCTTTTAAATCTTTCCGCTCTCACCTTAAACCTATGCACTCTAGTTCTGTGCTCTCCTACTCGGGGGGAAAAGACCTCAGCTATTCACCCTATCCATGCCCCTCATTATTTTATAAACCACTATAAGGTCACTCCTTAGCCTCCAACGCTCCAGGGTAAAATGCCCCAGCCTATTCAGCCTCTCACTAAAACTCAAACTCTCCAATTCTGCAACATCCTTGTAAATGTTACCTGAATATAAATCAAGGAAGTGATATTTAATTTCTGCAAGCCACTATTTGGGCTACAGTCATGGAATATTTGCTGTTTGGAGATCTCATAACAAGAAAACATTATGAGCTATGGCAAGGATATATTAGGAATTAGGTTACAAAATATTTAAGAAAAATTGGGGCTTTTCTTCATTAAAATAAAGTCAAATGTAACATTCTCAAATGGTAAAGAATGAAATCTTATTTCCATTTGCTGGTGAATTTGTAACATGACACTATAAACATTTAAAAACCAAGAGAAGTACCAAGGTGATGTAAAATCTTTGGCTCAGAATTTATGCGCTGGAGGCTGACTGACAGACACTGAGACCCGTTGCTGGGGAGGAAAGTTAGCTGAATACTTAATTTCTGGTGGTGGTCACATCCTTTAGGAATAGGTATGTGATTCCATCACTGGTCAGGAAAAGAAAAGAGACAGGCAGGTCAGACCCAGAAGATAGCAGCTTCAGCGTTTGCATTTGTCCAAAAGATGTGAGGTTCTTCAAACTTGTTTGGATGAAAGCGAGGGCTGCAGGATGGATGAGCTAACAACCATAATAATGGAGTGCAGAAAATCATTCAAAGCAAAAAGGACTGAAGTAGAAGTAGAGGACAGCATAGCATGGCCGAACTGACACTGTTCTCTGCAGCAAAGAGTTAGAGCTCAAATGTCTGTTTTGTCTGTTTGGTGCCAGGGTTTGAGACATTTGTTGGGGCTATGGAGGAACTTGCAGTAGAGAGGCGAAGATCCTAGTCATAGGTAGCAATGTAGGTAGTAGCAATGACAAAGGCAAGGTGAAGAAAGAGGGTCAGTATAATTAGTATGAAGAACTAGGCAGCACAATAAAAGGTAATATTCTCTGGAGTATTACCTGAACCATGTGCAAAATGGCAGAGGGCAAATAAGATTAGTTAAACAAATGCACGGCTCAAAGAACAGTGCGGTTTAAATGGTTTCTGGTTCATGGGACACCTGCACCAGTGCTGAGGAAATGTTGGGATGGTCTACATGTGAACTGAGCTAAAACAAGTCTTCTAGTAAGTAACATAACTAGGGATGTAGAGAGGGTTTAAACTACATAATAAGGACAAGGATTCAAATTTACAAAAATGTAGCACATCAAAGAGTAAAGACTAGGTAAGAGAGAAAGGTATTAATTCGGGAAATCATAAATAGACCTTGACAGAAAAAGGATGGACAGTACAAATCAAAACTAACTCAACAGATAAGGCTCGTGGTTACAAAAATAATAACAAGGAAAAAACTAAAGGTTCTGTATCTGAATATGCATAGCATTCGTAATTAAACAAATGAACTGAGAGTGCAAATGTAAATAAATATGTAAGGTCTGATAGCCATTACAGGGAAATATAAAACGGAAGTGGATAAGTATCAAAAATGAAGCTAAAACAATATTGAGGAAAATTAGTTTAAAATTGAAAGCTGTAATGAATTATTACTGGCAGAGGTGTTATGACCTACCTTTACACTGCAAATGTCATCATTTTTACCCAAGTTGAAGAACAAGAGTTCAGACAATTCTTTTGAGTGAATCAATATGTAACAGTATTTGTCTGTCTCGCGTATACCTGCTTCACATTCATTTTTACTCATGTATGTTTTATGCATTGCATATTTCAAGGTAAAAATATCTATTATGATCCCATTTTTTCCCAAAAATATATTCATAAAATTTGCAAAGGTGCAAGTTAAATATAATACATGGCACTTTATTTGCCTTGTTCCAATTAAAATAAACATTCCCTAATACATACAACCTATATAATTGGTTGGACAACCCTAAACTGTGGACTTTTCCCACTGTCCTTGTAATATCTGCACCACATGTCAGTCTATTTCCAGCACCACATGTCAGTCTATTTCCCAACATATAGTGCTGGACCTTGGACTCTGCGACACATGTTTAGCAGAGGTCTTTGCACCGGAAGACAAAGAAACATCTTTCCCTAAGTTTGACAGGCTTTCAGGAGTAGTTGATATTTATCTAATGTGTCTCTGAGGACAGTACAAGTGAGCACTCAGAACAACTTTGACGAAACCAATGCAATTCCTTCCAGAGCTATTTACGAATGCACTGAAGGAAATGGTTAATAGTGTCTTTCCCGGCCACAGTTACCTTGAAGTGGTACGAAGACACCAGATGAATTAGGTTTTGCTTCTAATTGGGCATCTTTACCTGAAGTGGCAGTGCTTATGTTACTCTTGTAACACAAAAAACTATGCATAAATAATGTGACATTGAAGAATCTAACAAATATTTATTACAGCTGGCTATTATATGCAATTATTATTATTACATTCCTAGAAGTGTCTGGCCTAGTATTATGCTATTTGGTTACAATAGAGCAACATTCTTTCAACAGTGTCATGCTTCAAGTGATCCCCAATAGGATAGCATCTGAGACCTTTATACCCTCAAAGCACATGTTAATGATACAGTAACGTTCTCATGAGCATGTCTCGCAAAGACATTCTAACATGCTGAGGACGCAACATAACAGAATATTCCCCATTTTTCAAAGATTTAAATAAAAACCGTACAAAGAGATATAGTTGTACATAGGCACGTTATCAATTTGATAATTATACAAAGATATAAAACAATGTTTACAAAACTAACCTTTCAAACTTCAGCATGCTGTATCTGGTGATCATACATCCATGCAGAGAGGTGTGGGTTGTTCTATATTGCATTTATTTGATAACTTGATTGTCTTGCTACTGATTGGTATCACTAAATATTACCACACTTTTATTGTAGTGATCTACCTTATTCTCTTCATGCACGTTTCGTGTGCTGTGCATCAGTCTGAGCATGCTTCTGATCCTTTGCAATGTGGTACCATGATCAGTAATAACTTGGCATGATCTGGGGTGATTGCATATTTTGAACGTGATGTGGGGGTACCAGTGTTGGACTAGGGTGGACAAAGTTAGAAGTCACACAACATCAGATTATAGTCTAACAGGTTTATTTGAAATCACAAGCTTTTGGAGAGCTGCTCCTTCATCACTTCACTGGACGAAGGTTCAGTGCTCCGAAAGCTTCTGATTTCAAATAAACCTGTTAGACTATAACCCGATGTTGTGTGACTTCTGCATATTGTAGAAACCTTTGCTGGTATCCAATTATTTTACTTGGATATGTAACTGTCTCTATCTGTCCACTCATCATTTTGCTCTTTCATTCTTTATTGTGAAAAATAACGTACTGTGTTTTGAAATGGTTAAGTAATTGGTTCTTGGGCAACATTGTTCACAACTGTTTTGTGAGCATACGTTGTACAAGTTTCATGCAACGGCAAAGCAAAAATCTTTGTTTTATGCTTGGTACTTAATGATCATTGATTTGATAGTACGGACCATATGTTCTGCTAGATGACAGTATATGGATAGCAGATGACAATGTGATATGGATCAATCTCCAGTTAGTACTGGTCCTTAAACAATTTTCCAATAAACTGCTGTCCATTGTCAGGCATTAACTGTTCCACGATACTGGGTAAATTGAAAACAAACTGAATAAAAACCGAAAGAACTGTAAATGCTGTAAATCAAAATTAATGCTTCGGGTCACCGGACCCAAAGTGTTAACTTTGATTTCTTTCACAGATGCTCCCAGACCTGCTCAGCTTTTCCAGCAACTTCTGTTTTTGTTTCTGAAAACAAATTGAGGGGCTTATCGTGTCAGTGACAGTGCACTCATTGTGTTGTGGAGCCAATTAGAGATTTGGGGAAGTAATCCACCACAAAATGTAATTTTCCTCATGTATTACAAATAGGTCTATTGCTATTTCATCAAAGAAATGCATGGAATAGTGTGTGCATATAGAGTTCCCTCTACTTGTTGATGTTGATAGATTTGGCATACAGATATTTAAATGACTTGTAAATGTATGTGAGGTGGAATATATAGAATCTATTCTATACCTTCTACCTCACAAACATTTACAAGTCATTAAATATCTGATTCATCCTTCATCCCTAGCTAGTACACAGATAAGTGTTCTAGCTGTGTTATGCATTCAATACCCATGCGTCCCTGGTATAAAACAAACATGCTATCTTGGCTGCATGCTTTTGGTATAAGGACTCATTTACCTTTGAAAATGATTTGTCATGAGATATTAAATTTAACTCTGTTTGGCCAGTGAACAAGCCTCAAGCATTTCTTCAAAATTT